AGACACGACAGGAGCTTGCGGGCGCGGGCTCTTGTCGTAGCGGATTTTGTAGCCGCAAGTAACCTTTCTCCCCCTCAAGAGATTGTCGAAATGGTGATGGTTCACATCAGGATGCGCACGTCGAGCAGCACTTACGCTGGGAAATTTCTGCCACTCTTCGTCGCCGACGCGCTTCACCTCGACCGGCTTGAAACACACGTTGGATTGGCCATCGCCGCGTTGCACCTTGAGCCACGTGTCCGTGCCCTCCAAAAGTATGTTGAGTGTCTCGGCCCTTAAGTCGGGAAATTCACTGAGCGCAGCAGCACGATTTTTGAACCATTTCCAAGTGGCGTCGTCGTCATGAAGCGATCGTACTTCGATGGCTGTGCCTCGCGGTGGCTCAACGTGTGGTTGAAGCCCAGAGTCAAGCGGCGCCAATGGCACCAGCGCAGCAGCAACGGAGCGCGTCTCCTCGTCGTCAGCAACGTGTGACTGGGCATCGCGGATGTATCGCGCCTCGAACTGCGACGCCGATTCGTGCAAAAGGCCACTAAGATGTCTCTCTAACACCGGGTGCTTGGCATACAATTCGGCGGTACTAGAGAAGCCGACCCAGTCCGAATTCGGATCGTCCTTCTTGCGCAGTTTCACGACGTAATCGTCGGAAGCGGGCGTGTAACGCGCCTCGTGCGTGGTCGATTCTCTTCGGCCTTTCAAGATGTCACGGATGAAATTCTTCCCGTGATCCACGTAAGCTTCCGACGCCTCTTTGACCGAGTCGAAGTGGCACCAAGATCCATCCGCGACTCCGAGCTGTCGCACGTCGACTTGCTTAGGCACACCGATCAGTAACTTGCCGCCGCGCTTCGCTTCGAAAAGAGAGCCAACGTCCAGGAGCGCATACAGCGGCATGGCTGGCAATTCAGGAAAATGGCGCATGGCTTCATTTTTACCCTCGAAAGCAACCCAGTCCGACGCGATCTTGCGCACTTCCAGAACCGGCTTTTGCACTCGCTCAACGTATCGCGCCTCGAACTTGGTCACGGCCTCGTCAAGCAAGCCAGTGAGGTAATTTTGCGTCAGGTCTCGGTACTCAGCAAGCGCAGCTGCTTGCGAAGGATATCCTCGCCACTCACCCCATCCGGCTTCAAGGCGCTGGCGCACCTGCAGAGTAACTCGGGCGGGTGGCTGCAAATCGTAGCGGGCTTCGTAGTTGCAATTGAAGACGTCTCCTTTCAACAACATCTGAACGTTCCCGAGGTTCAAATCAGGGTACGCAGATCCGGCAGCGCCCACGCTCGGAAACTTTTGCCACTCTTCATGGCCCACGCGTCGAACCTCGACGGGCTTCTCGCCGTGCCAGCGGCGAGCATGCGCATCCGGACCTGGGCGCGCCTCATAGCGAGTGTTGATTTTCTCGAGGAGGACAACCAACGCCTCTGAAGAGAGGTCGGTAACCGCTCCGAGCGCAGCGTATTGAGTCCCAAACATGTGCCAAGGTCCCGTGCCGACCCGACGCAGTTCGAAGTGGTGTCGTCGCGATCGCAACAGATCTGAAGCCGACACCGAAGCCGGGGCGCCTTCCGCTTCATCGTCGCTCTCCTCCTCCATTGCGCGGGATTGACGCGCCAGCAAACGCGCTGCGCGCTGGGCCGTCTCGGATTCCACGACGCTCTGCTCACCGTCGTCGTTCGCCTCCGACGCCTCGTCCACATGCGATCGACGCGGAGCTCGCGTGCGAGAGGGCGCGTTCAAAACCGTCAGAATGGGCACGGAGCGTGCCGACGTATCCGAGAGTGCCGATTCAAGGGCCGCCTTGTGTGCAGCTGCTGCTTTGAGAGAGTGCTCGCTACGACGATGACCGCAATGGCACTTGAGGCAGAGCAAAAACTTCATGAGCGGAGTCTGGTCACTGGGCAGATCCAAGTCATACTGGACAGCAAGTTCGTGCGTCCACACATAGGCAGCACGGTGATCGGATGGTTCGCATAAAGTGCATTGCACCGTGTTTGCGTCCAACGCGACAAACTGGCGTCGCTCATTGCCGCGCGCGTCGACGAACAGATTTCCACATTGTCCGGAAGCGCACTCTACAGAAACAGCCTCATCGATGCGGCGCTGGACCCAGTTCTTGGGATCGATTGGCTGAGAGCAAAGAGCCAGCTCCGCTTTTGACAGCTTCGCCTTTTTCACGTGATTTGCTTTTACTTTGACGAGGTCACCATCCGTCGTCTGAAGCTCCATCCAAGTAGCCCTCGTGTTTGCGAATGCGTTCACACAGAGGCCCCGCATCTCTGAATCGGCCTTGAGCTGGAAATGCTTGCCCTTGAAAGAGAGGCAGCCTTGAGGCACCGGTGGCGCGGGCTGCTCGACGCGCCCTCGTTGTTGCCCAAGGTCGAGCGGCTCTTGGACGCGAGGCCGCTCGACGCGCGCCGATCCTCGTCGCTGGGACACGCTCTCGACGGCGTCGTCCAGGGACCAGCCGTCCTCGAGCAGCTCTGTGACGCGCGTCTCGACGGCCTCCGCCTCGGCCTGAGACGCGTACGCGCCGACGCGCGCCAGGCAGTGCGACTCGCTGTCCAGCATGGACAAGGTCCAGCCGGCGCCGTCGAAAAAGATGCCCGGAAGGCGGAGCGCCTTTCGGCGGAGCCGGCCGTCGCCGTCAAAGTTGACGCAGAGGTCGTCGCTTGCCGGGAAGGCCTCGCGGACGCTGGCGTCGTGCGCGAGCGCCGCCTCGTCTTCGCTCCGACGCCAACCCAGGATGCGCCCGTCCGGGGTCGCGGACCGCGCGCACCACGGGGCCTTGTCCGGGCTTCTCGAAGCCTCGACGCCGACGAACATGCTCTGCCGCGCAGAGGGCCGCCGAATATCCCAGCCGATAATCATCGGGACGTCGTAAGAGTCGATGCCGATGCGCTCGATGACCGCCTCGAAGAACGCCGTGACTGCGGGCGTGACCGTCGCCTCCGCCGTGCTCAGATCGCGGTGGACTTTGTCGCCGAGATCCGCGTGGTCGTCGACGAATCGGAGTCGCAACGACGACAGCGACGACAGCGCGGTCTTGCTGCCGCGAGTCCTGCTGCCGCCCGGCGTCTGCACGAGCTTGTCGTCGCACCACTTCCGCAAGGTGACGAGGTATTCGTCGAAGTAGTGGAGGTCCCAGGCCGCGGCGGTGACCTTCTCTTTTAACGTCGGATAGACTTCTTTCGATGGCTTTGGATGAGCCTTCACGAGTTGATCCAGCGCGTCCTGATCCATGGCGCTGCACTGGGACTTGGTCAGAAATAGGAAGTCGCCGGACGAGGGCTTGGGCACGAGCGGCGTCGCCCGAGCAGCACCCTCCAGGTACCGAGCCACGTCGTTCGGCGAGCGCAATTGGTCTTGGGCCGCGGTCTGGCCAGGATAATGGTATGAGACGTCGACGACGCCCTTGGACTCGCCGGTCTTCCGCGGGCTGAGCACCTTGTGCCAGCCCTCCGCGGGATCATTGTTCGGAACGACGCCCGCGCCGCGCGCGAGTTCGATCCAGGCGTCCGGCTTCAGCTGGGCCAGGAACCGCGTCATCGCCTCGGGCGGCAGAGGCGGTTTCACGGGAGGCGCCGGCGCTTGCAAGGGCAGCGCCGACGGCGTCGACGCGGAAGAAGACGAGGCGCGCGGCCGGCCCGGGGCCCGCGCCTGCGGCGGCCCGCCCGCGCCCGCGGCCGGGCCCTTGGGCTGGCCCTTGGCGGACGACGACTTCCGCGGTTTCGGAAAGGGGCGGTTCGCCTCCTCTTCGAGCTTGGCCTGCTGCTTCAGCTCGGCGTCTTTCTTCTCCCACTCGTGATGCACCCACGGGCTGAGCTGACGGATGGTGAGCGCCAAGCGCCTCGCGGACGCGGCCTCGGGCGTCCCGCGCTGCTCGAACGTGTGCGTGTTCGCCGTTGTCACGCCGTGCGTCCAGCAGCACCTGCGAGGGTCGACGCGCGTCTCGGCGCGGGAGGAGGGCGTCGGGCGCGGCTCGCGCGCTTGCAGCCTTTGTGGTTCCGCTCGGCTTGCACGCTAAACGCCAAGTGCTTCAGGCAGTCGCCGCGCGCTGGACCAGAAATGACGTAGAAGGAGCGCGGGCGGAGCGTCATCTCGCTGCGCTGCGCGCCGCGGACCTGGACGAGCGTGGCCTCGCCGTGGAGCGTCAGGGTGCCGATCGAGCCGAAGCGGGCGCGCCTGCGAGGGCGTCGGGTCGACGGCGGCGGAGAGAGTCGCGCGGACGCCGGCGCGCGCGAGTCGAAGTGCTGGCCCATGCCCGACATGTTATCAAAGTAGTAGGTCGTGCCCTGGAGCGCGAACTTCGTGGGTTCCTCCGAGTGCTCGTCGTTGCAGTTGAAGCTCTCGCTGCGGGGGGCGGCGGCGTCGTCGTCGCGCGCGGGGCGAGCGAGGACGCGGCGTCGGGACTTGAGCTCCGCTTGCAGGTGCGTGAGCCGCTCGTCGGATCCATCGTTCTGGCCGCACTCGAGGTCGTACCTGCGCGACGACGGTCGCCGCGGCCGCGGAGCGCGCGCGGGACGCCGCGCGACGGACCTCGCGGCGTCGCGCGACGGAGCTCCGTGGGGCGTCGGCGCGTCGCCGTGGACTGTCATGGGCTTGACCTTGTCGTCGCCCTCAAAGACGAGCGTCATAATATTGTGGAAGCGCTGGAGCGTGAGGCGGAGGACCTTCTGGGCGACGGCCGTCTTGTTCTCGTCGAACGTCGGCACCCATCGCGTGCCGTTCCGCTGGCCGCCCTCCTCCTTGTACGACACCTCCGTGAGGTCCCAGCGCGAGACGTCCTGCCGGCCCTCCGTGGTGGCGCCCGAGAGCAGGCTCGTCGTGTCCGAGACGTAGCTGCTGGCGTAGTTCTGGTCGAAGCCCTCCGTCATCCAGCGAATCAAATAATTGTGCTCGTCTCCTGCGCGCGCGGGGGGAGGCGTTCGGTCTTCTCGGCGCGCGACTCCCGCGGGACGCTGCGGCGCGCTCGAGACGAGGTTGTCGATGACGATCCGCCCCTGGACGCCGCCCGCGTCGATCTGCACGTAGACGACGTCCGGGTTGGCGTTGACGGTCTCCGTGGGCACGACGTGGCCGAAGGTGACGCAGATCTCGCTGACCGAGTCCATGCGCACCGCGTACATGGCTTCGAGCTCGGACTTGAACGTGTCGCTCAGGTCTTCGCGGTCCGGCGGCTTTTGCGAGGCGATGCGCGAGCTGCGCTTCATCTTCGACGGCGCGCGGCGTGCGCAGGCGCGCGCGCGCGACGAGGTGCCTGGCGAGGCGCTCCTGACGCGCCGCGGGGCGCCGCTGCTCGCGCGCGCGCGCCGACGAGGCGCCGCTGGCTCCCGACGCGAATCTTTCGCAGAGCGGGTCGCCTCGCTCGGGCGCGGAGCGCCGACTGCTGGACGTTGGACGCGCGGCGCGTGCCGGAGGCGGTTGCGGGTCCCGGCGACGGTCGCTGCGCGCTGCCGACAGGCACGACGCGCTCGAGCAAGTCGCAAGGGCGCGCACCCTCGGAGAGCGCGGGCTTGAGTCGAGCGCGGCAAGCACAACCTCGCTTGCGGTAATTCCGGCCCCATCGCATCGCCCGCGCGCCCGTGCAGCCTCGCACAAGCGCGTCCGCGCCAGCCTCCACGCTAACAGCCTTCGCACACGTCCACGCGACATCCCGCCAACACAACCAGCCCAAAAAACGGCCGCGCGCGTCCGCGCCGGCGTCCCGCAAAGCCCGAAACGCCGAATCATGTCCACGGTGATGCAAACCCACCTTTGGGGCGAGTGCTCCGATGACGCCTTCCAAAAATACTGATATAATGAGCCTGAGTGGCATGCGCGCGCGCCGCCCGCGACCCCGCCGCGCGCGCGCCGCGTCGGCCCGAGCCGCCGACCGCAGGCGACGATGGCCGAGGGCAACGCGAAGCACGCCAACTACCACGACCCCTGCGACCTCGCGTCCGACGTCTCGGAGCGCGCCGACGCCGAGGGCGACCTGGCGACGTTCCGCTACGAGAGCGGCGCCGGCGCGGCGCGCGCCGTCGCGTGCGCGCTCCGGGGCGTCGCGGGCGCCGCGGCGAGGGCCGAGCGGTGCAACACGGGCGAGACGGCCTGGTTCGGCGGGCGCAACCTCGCGGACCTCGTCTGCCGCGAGCCCGGCGCCGGGTCCGTCGTCGAGCTCGGCTGCGGCCTCGGCCTCGCGGGCATCGTCGCCGCCGCCGCGCTCGGCGCCGGCGGCTTCGTGCTCCTCACGGACGGCGACGCGCGCGTCGCGGCCCGCGCGGGCGACAACGCGCGCGCCAACGCGGGGCCGGGCGTCGCCGCCGTCGAGGTCGCGGAGCACCGCTTCGGCGACGTCGCGGGCGCCGCGGCGCTCCGCGCCGCGCACGGCCGCGCGGGCGGCTTCGACCGCGTCCTCGCGGCGGACGTGCTCTACGAGTCCGGCGACGCCGCCGCGGACCCGGCCGCGGCGCCGCGCCACTGGCAGGTGCGGCCCTTCTTCGAGTCCGCGCGCGCGTTCCTCCGGCCCGCGGGCACGCTCGACCTCGCGTTCTCGCGGCGCCTCGTGCCCCTCGACGACGTCGAGGCCGAGGCCAAGGCCTGCGGCTTCTCGCCGTCGGCGACCGTCGACGGCACCATGTTCGACATCTTCGGCAACGACATCGACGAGCTCACGGACATGTGGCAGCACGCGGTCCTCCGCTTCACGCTCCTCCCCGTCGGCGGGTAAAAGAACAAGCGCTTTGCCCCACCAGCCGGTGGGCGTGCGACTCAGTTCAGAAAGATACTTAGGGGGTCGCCGCGCCGTCCGTCCGCGCGCGCTCGGTCGCCGGCGCTACGCGGAAAACTTGATGCCGGAGAAGGTGCCCTCCTCGCGCTCCTCGTCCCATTTGTTGTACCAGTCGTCGGGGCAGATGGACAGCGCGAACTGGCGCATGGGCTTGCACGCGTCCTCGTCGCCGTCCGTCTTCTTGAGGCACAGGACCCATTCGTTGTAGCCTGCGCGCGTTCGCCGTCGACGCCGGTCGCGGCGCGCGCGCGCGCGCCGTCGAGATCGCGCGCGGCGCGGGCGCGCGCGCGCGGCGGGCGAGGGACGTTTCCGGGGCCCGCGCGCGGCGGGAAAAACCAGTCCGGCGAAAGCCGCCGGAGACGGTCGGACGCGGCGGCCGCGCGGTTCCAGCAGTGGTTCGCCTGGTTCTGCGTCGGGAACCGCTTGTCGGGCGGCGTCGTCTTGATGTTGTCCGAGAGCGACATCCTACGCGGGAGCGGGCTCGCGCGCGGCGCCGGGCGGCGTTGGCGGCGCTCGGCCGAGCGCGGCGCGGGCGGTGCGCGCACCCCGTCGCGACGACCCCGTCGCCGGTGCGGATCGCCGCGCGCGCGCGCGCTCGCCCTGCGCTCTCTCAGACCCGGACCTCTCAACCCGCCGCGGAAAAGACGCCGGCCCATAACCTTGCTTTGCCTCGCTCGTCCAGTCGGTTGGGCACAAGGGGAAACTTGGCGCAGCATCGGCCCGCATTGACTCCGTTACGGGGGCGACGCGTTGCGCGGGCTCGGGTCCGCCGGCGGCGCGCCCGGGCTCGCGGCGTCGCCGTGGACCTCGAGGACGTCGGGCTCGGCCGGCGGCGCGGCGTCGCCGCCGGGCGGCTCGGCCACGGTGGCGAGGTTCGGCGGCGGCGCCGTCGGCGGCCGGGACGCCTCCGAGGCCGCCGTCGCCGGGCGGCTCGGGTCCGGCGTGGGCGTCGTGTGGTCGTAGGTCGTCCGCAGGTCCGGCGTCGGCGGCGCGGACGGGTCGGGCTCGACGACGTCGGAGCCGCGCCAGGGCCCCGCGTAGTCCGGGTGGTCCGGGTCCTCGCAGGCGTAGGCGTAGCGCGGCTTGTCCGGGTCGCCGTCGGCCGGGAGGGGCGGCGGCGCCGGGTCCGCCGCGTAGAAGTGGTCGACGACGCCCGCGTCTCGGAGCTTCCGGGGGATCCGCGCGATCGTCAGCTTCAGCCCGCCGATGGGGCTCGGCTCGATGACGAGGCGCTTGAGCACGTAGCGGTTCACGGACGCCTTGACGAGGTCGCCCATCATGCGCTCCTTGTCGAAGGCGCACAACTTCAAAATCTCCCGCGCGCCGACGTGGAGCTTGGCCGTGTACGACGTCACGGGGTCGTACGCGTGGATCACGAGGCCGTGGGCCGGGTCCTCGTCGGGCGCGCGCGTCGTCACCGTGACGATGCACTCGCCGCCGCGGGGGAGCGCCATGCCGCGCCTTAATACCAGATCGCCCGTCGTCGTCGCGGGGATGAACGTCATCGGGATGCCGTGCGGCCGGCCCGTGCCCGGCTCCGTCTCGGCCCGCAGGTCCGTCTGGAGGCTGTGGTACGCCGAGAGCCAGGGCTTCGCCGGGTTCGTCTCCAGCGTCAGCGACATGGGCTCGGGCTTCTTCGCCTCCTCCGCCGTGCCCGCCAATTCGTCGTCGACGATCATGGGCCGCGGATCCTTCTGTAGATCTTCAAAGTCGGGGATGTCGTGGAGCTTGAGGTGGCGGATGAGCCAGTCGATGGCCGCCTTGCGCGGCTCGCCCTCCTCGTGCTCGAGGCACGGCCGCCCCAAGCACTTCTGCTGGTCGAGCTGCGTCACGCGGACCTCCGCGGACCTTTTGATCCGCGGCACGTAGACGTTCATGTCCAGATCGTTGGCCGTGTTCGCCGCGTGGAAGACGCTGACGACGCACTCGACGCCGGACATGCGCGTCGACACGCGGAAGATGCGCCGCCGCCGGTCGTTGACGCGGTCCGCGGGCTCGCGCGGCTCTTTGTCGTAGCGGAGCCGCCGCCGCCGCTTTTCGCCCTTGGTGCCCTCGGGCGCGCCCGGCCGCTCCTCCTCGAGGTCCACGGGCTCGGGCTCCGAGCCGTGGAGTAGGGGCGCGCGCGCGCCGCGGCTCCAGGGCAGGAAGACCTCGGGCGGCGCGCGGTGAAAGCAGCTCAGGCGGAGCCGCCGCGTGATCGCGAGCGCGAGGTCGAAGCGCCGCTTCGGGTCCCGCAGGCGCCAGGACGGCTTCGTCTGCTTGGCCAGGATGCCGTGCTCGGGCTGGTCGCGGTCCTCCTCGGCGAGCACCTCCGCGCTCGCCTCGGGCGGCACGAGGAAGATCGACGCGTGCTTCGCGCGCGGGTTCCAGCAGACGAAGCGCAGCGACGGCAGCGGCGTGAAGTGGGGCTGGCCGAAGCCCCGCTCCGGGTTCTCGGGCCCGTCGTCGACGGGCATGCCCGCGGCGGCCCTGAGGCCGTCGGAGACAACGGGCGGCTCGTCCGCGAGGACCGCGTCGTCCCCGGGCGCGGGCGCGGGCGCGGGCACGGCGCCGCCGTCGGCGAGGCCGCCCGGCGCCTTCGCCGCGTCCGCCTCCGTCGGCGGGCTCAGGGCCGCCTCGGGGTCCGGCGGCGGCGTCAGCGGCAGTTCGAAGGCCGTGACGTGGACGAGGACGCCGTCGATCTCCTGCGCGTGGCGCAACACCTTCGTGCCCCGCGCCATGCGGCCCTGGTCGAAGTTCTTCTTCGCGTTGGCCGCGTCGTCGTCGTCGCCGCCGCGGTCGAGGGGCGTGACCTTCTTCGTCGCGTCGAACAACCGGTCCGTCTTGAACCTGGGCGTGAAGCGGTCGCCCATCTTGAGGAAGCGGTCCTCGTCGCCGTCCCAGACGCCCTCGTGGAGCACGATGCGCTCCGCGACGATGTACTGGAGCATCTCCTCCTCGCGCTCCTGCGCGAGCATGTGCTGCGCGTCGGGCCCGAGCACCTCCCGGAGGAGCTTGAGGCCCTCGACGACGCAGACCTCCGCCGCGGACGTGCTGTGGCGGTAGACCTCGAAGCGCAGCTGGCGCACGGCGACGCCCGACGTGTAGGCCTCGTAGACCTTGACGTAGACCAGCTCCCGGACGTTGCCGTCGTCGTCGACGGCGGAGCCCGGCGGCGGCTCGCGGAGCGTCTTGATGGACGTGCGCACGCCCTGCTGGTAGACCAGCCGCAGGTCCGTGATCGTCTCCTCGACGATCTCCGGCGCCGCCTCCTCGACGACGAGCACGTCCGCGGGCGCGGGCGACGGCGCGGGCGCGGGCGCCGCGTCGTCCGCGGGCGCCGGCGGCGGCGCCACCACCAGATCCGCGTCGCCCTCCGCGGGCGCCGGCGGCGGGCCCGGCGTGTTTGGCCGCGCCGACGGCGGCTTCTCGCGCGCGTCGTCCTGGAAGTGGTGGCGGAGGCCCACGTACTCGCCGTCCTTGTCCTTGACCATGGGCCGGAGCGCGTGCTCGAACTTCACGACGGGCGCCTGGCGCTGGAGGCGCACGAAGGACGCCGTCGACCCGTCCTCGGGCGGCGGCGCGGCGACGCGGCCCGCGGCGAAGGCCGACGGCGGGCCGTCGAAGCGCCGGTGGAACGCGCTCTCGGACTGCGCCGCGCGCTCGACGCGGCTCAGGCGCCGGTTCGGCGACGACGCGCGCTTCCGCGCGCGGAGCCGCTGGTTCGACGCGAGGATCACCGCGCCCGTGTCGCGGTCGCGCGCGAGGCCGCTGATGAGCAGGCCGAGCCCCCGCTTCCGCGTCGCCGCGTCGCCGCCGAGCATGGCGCGCACGGGATTTTCCGTCGCGTCCGGCAAGTGCCAGAGCGAGATGAGGCGCTCCTTGGAGACGACGACCTCGGCCTGCGAGTACGACGGGTCGCGCTTCGTCGCCGTGTCGAAGGCCTTGACCAGCAGCCCCTCGCCCGACCCGCCGAGGAGCTCGACGCGGATCCGCGTGAGCCGCTTCTCGATGTGGCACGCCTTGCTGTGGATCGTCGCGTCGAAGGACACGCCGTCCGCGTCGAGCACCGCGCCGGCCGTGACGGCCGCGTTGGCGTCCTCGAGGGCCCGCGCGAGGCGCTTGCGCTTCAGGCTCAGCCGTTTGACGAGGTTGTCGCGCCAGGACCGCCAGTCCGTCGCCGCGGAGCCGAGGATCACGGCCCGGTGCGTCGTCGCGAGGCGCACCTCGCGGACCTCCGCGGACACGGGGTCGTAGAGCCGGATGCGCAGCAGCCGCGCGTCCGCCGCGCCCGTCTCGTCGCAGCTGATGAGCAACCTAAGCCCGCTCACCTTGCGGTACGTGCGGAAGAGGCGCCGCCCGGGGCCCTTGCACGTCCGCATGCGGAGCTTGAAGCCCGCGTTCCGCGCGGCGCCGCCCCGCGAGTCCGCGGCGACGGCGCGGAAGAAGGGCAGGCAGTCCATGTCCTCGGCGGCGGCCCGGCTCGGCACGACCTCGATGCGGTCCGCGACGAAGGGCAGCATGCGGTCCGCGACGTGCGACTCCAACGCGTCGAGCTCCGCGACGGTGTTGTCCGCGTTCGTCGACATGGCGTGGAGGACGCGCGTCGTCACGGCGTACTCCAGGGACGCGGACCGCTCGGGCAGGTAGGCGTGGATGCGCAGCTCGCCGCGCGCCTCCTCGTAGACCGTGATCGTCACGAAGTAGCCCGAGATGCGCCGCGTCTCGCGCAGCAGGCGGTTGAGCTTCCGGCGGCACATGAGCCGCGGCGGCGTCACCTTCTGCTGGACGCGGACCCGGGGCTTGACGATGCGGTGCAGCACCGTGTCCGCCTTCGCCGGGTCCGCCTTCGACGTCAGCGCCTGCGCCGTGCCCCGGTTGACGACGAGGAGCTGCACGAGGCGGCTGTACATCTCCGCGAGGGACCGCGGCGGCATCTTCGCCGCGTGGGCGCGGTGCTCGATGGAGTTGGGCGCCAGCAGCTTGTCGACGTCGCGCTCGTGCACCGACTCCACCAGCGCCGTCGACGTCGACGAATCGTACGCGCTGAAGAAGACGCGGCCGCAGTCGTGGTAGACGTTGACGTTGTAGATCGCGTCCGGCGGGATCGTGCCGTCGTCGAGGGCGATGCGCGTCGTCGCGAGCTTCGCCGCCGCGCGGAAGGACCGGCAGTCCTCGAGCACGGCCTCCAGCAAGCGCGCGAAGGCCGCGCGCTGCCCGCGGTTCGCGGCCTCCGATTCCTCCTCGGCCGCGGAGTGGCCGTCGGACACGGTGATGACGTGGCCCACGAGGTCCGGCGGGTCCCGCCGGCTCACGACGGGCGCCGCGCCGCCGTGCTTCGCGAGGTAGTCGCCGGCGGAGATGATGGCCTGCATCCAGCGGAGGAGCGGGCCGAGCGCGGCCTCCGTCGTGCCGCGGCCGGGCGGCGGCGTCGCGTACGTGTCCTCGTCCGTCGTCGGGTCCGTGG